TTTCATTTGGGGCTTTTTTTTTTTTTTTTTTGTCTCCCCATTTTGGCTGCCTGCTTGGGCTTGTTTCTATGTATTGGGTAGATCTACTAGGACTCCCAGTCTTTTGGATGATCTCTGATGCAGGTCAATGCCAGAAGCTGTTTGTGACTGTCTTTGAAAACCCTGTTTGAATCTTTCTGCAATCTACAGCTTCTCGCTCCCTCAGCTGGGGATGGGTGCATTTGGAAAGGACCAAGATGTGCATGTGCATCAAGGTCTGCTTTTCCAAGGCCTGGGTTCAGAGGCAGATCAGGCAACTACTCAAAATACACAGAGGCTGATTGTTAATCACAGTCTTTAATGATCCTCAGGCTGCAGGCCACAGAAAGGTGTAAACTCCACAGGGTGGGATGAGAAGTTTTCAATTGCTGGGGTAATTTCTTCTCCCCACTATCCAGGCAAAAGCTGCCTGGATGGCAAATGTTTGCCTGAAAAGATGTCCTCTGCAGTATGGGAGAATGACTAGGCACAGGAATCAAGATAGGTGCCTTTCGATCTCTATCTCCAGAGCCAGCATCCCTGGATTCTCCTCACACTGCTCTAGTCCACTCTACCCTCCCTCTGCTGGAGCCCACGTTGAGTGGCTGCACACGAAACTTTGTGTTGGCCCTTTAAGAGGGTGCCTGCTTTTCCAGCCATCTCTCCCTGACAAACAGAAACTCCACTGCTTTTCACAACCAGATGTTATGTAGGCACATTTCTCAGTTCTGGTGTTCTGGGCTGGGGAGCCCAGCTTGGGGTTTAGACCCCAGAGTTCTCAGTGGGAACCCCCCTCAGCTAAGATATCCCTCGGGACCTTCAGCTGCTGTCTGTAGGAGCCCGAACAGCCCTCTCGTACCTCCACACTTCCTACCCATCTCTATGTGGTCTCCACTTTATGTCCTTGGTTATAAGGGTGCTCTCCAGCTAGTCTTCAGTTGATTATTCAGGATATTTTTTCTCTATTTTAGTTGTAATTCCTGTTTGGTCCTGGGAGAGTGTCAGTGTAGCTTTCACTTAATCTGCCACCATCTTGGAATCTGGTTAGTTTTGTTTGTTTGTTTGTTTTTTTGAGAGCAGGTCTTTTTAAGAACAGAATATTCTGGGTGTATTTCAAAATGGCTACCTTTCCCTTCCCTTTGCTGGAAATGCAAGGGCATTTTCTCTGAACTGCACTGTGAGAACTTCATAGACCTCTTGGAGGTAAAACTCACAAAAATGTGGAAGGCACCCTAAGACTGTGGCCACCTGGAGCTTTTAACTCTTAACTTTCCCCACACTGAGCATCTAGCAGTTCATCAATTGTAGATTTTTTTTTCTTACCATGTTACTGGCTCCAGCAGTGGTCTGCTCCTGAGTTTGTGGTACAGTAGTTTACACTGTCACCTCAATTCTCCAATGGTCTAAGAATTATTGATTTTCAGTTTGTGAGCTTTTCTGTTGTGAGAATGAGAGCAATGAATTCCAGGCTTCTTACATGCTAAACTGAAAATCAAAATTGAAAGGTATACTTTTAATAAGGTAAAACAAACAGAAAAATCCAATGTCATCAACAACAAAGCAATTTTTTTTTTTTTTAATAAGATTTTGACACAGTATATACCAAATGAACCTACTTCTGTTTGAAGTAGATGCACACAGATGAAAAAAGATTGTAGAAGGCCATACTTTAATGTGTTTTATTAGCTCATGTTTCCCAAAACAACTTACGTATTCATCCACTCACTGTATTTATTCAACAACTACTGTGTATCAAATACTGGTAACCCAAATCAATACCCCAACATTAGATCATTTTGGACCTGAGTTATGTCTTCTTGAGATACCCCAAAATTTTTTTCCAATACCTGATTTGTTTTTGTTCAAGACAGTAATTTTCAAACTTTGTTCAACTCTTGGTTCCCCTGGTAGATTCTGTGACACTTCCCCTTTCTCAGTCACTCTGCTAATGAGTCAAAGGTCACATCACTACTGTACTTGCTGTCTCCTGGATAGTAGAGGGAAGTAAAAGTGGCAGTTGTGAAGTGGACACAGCCCTGAAATCCCTTAGGTTCTCCTTGCTTCCAACACCTCACAGGTACTCTATTCTAATGATGTAATTCACTCAAGGTAAGTAGTTTCTCTCTTCATCATTTAATACAGTGTGATTCCTCCTTTTTGTCTCTCATTGGGATAAAGCAAATACTTTTATGACCTGGCTTAGAACATTTGGTAATTTACCATCAAAGAAGGGGAGTAAAGACACATCATGTAGAAGTTTTAATACCCTTGATGAGTTAGTTGTCAAAGAGAGTTGTGAAAGGTAAAGAAAATATGAAAGAGCATGAGAAAGGATAGAACCTAAGACAAGATACAATAACCTGGGGCGTGTAAGGTATGGACTTTGAGAGATTCACCAGGGAGAAGCACTCATGAAAAGGATCAGAGATGCTCTTTCTTTTAGAAGGAAAATCTCAGAGTCATAAATTCAGCCAGATACCTGAGTCTACCCTAATACAAGTTAAATAGTATAATGCGAGTAAAACATTGTCTCCAGACTACTTCATTCTATTTTCTCAATAATTCACCCGTCTTACCTTCCATTCATTGAAAAAGTTTTAAGTTGAACCTTATGAGGTTGCTGATATGTGCCTGGTTTTGACCTTAAAAATGACAATAAGTTTCAACCTACCATTTCTTGGGGCCTACTATGTGTCAGGTAATGGCTAGATGCTGGATATGCTTAATGAATAAGATAGACATGGTTCTTCCGAGCATGAAACGTACAATATAGTGAGGGAGAGAAATACTGAACAAACATGTAGCCCCAAATTGTAACAAAGAAAGAGAACAAGGTTCTGTGAGAGATAACATGACAGGCTAGACCAAGGAATGAGAAAGAGACTCTCAGTAGACATGATATTTAAATTTGATTTTAAAAGGTAACTAAGAGTTAACTGGGGAACTGAGTGGTGCATAGCCTTCCAGAAAGAGAAGCAGCATGGGCACAGGTTCTAGAGCAGGAAAATCCTTGGCCCATTTAGAACCAAAGGAGGCCAGTGTGACCAGAGCTTATCAATGTGGGGAGAGAATGACTTAGAGCTGAGTGGGAGAGGAGGCCAAGAGCCAGGTCTTGCAGGGCCTGAAGGCCATGGTATAAATTTGCTTTATTTTGTTTTTAACTAAGTGCAATGGAGGGATTTAAGGATGATAATAGAGGGGACGAGCATGTTCTAATTCTCCTTTAAAATATTCCTTGGATTGCCATGTAGAGACTGGATTGGAGAAGGGCAAGAGGAGAAACAGCGAGACCAGTTCACTGATTATTCAGTGACTTAAAATCTGTGAAAGATGCAAAGCAATTATAAAACACAATCCAAGATATCACAGGGGAAGCAGAACACGAGCTGCCTGAGCAGGTCCACAATTGTACATAACTTCTGTAGGAAAAAAGAAATTTAAAAATTACAAGGTTCTGTCA